GGCACTATGGCTGAAGTCGGGTCTGACACAGCATCACTGGATAGTCACCTCTCAGCTTTCGGGGTCGGCGGCACTGGCGTCAGCCCGTAAATATACATACATATGTATGCATATATGTATATATGCATATATGTATATATGCATATATGTATATATACATATATGTATATATGTATATATGTATATATGTATATATGTATATATGTGTATATGTGTATATATATCTATATATGTATGTATACATATGTGTATATATATACATACATACATACATACATACATACATATATATATATAATACACGAAAAAACAAGCTGTGTGCTCCATGCGTTTTTTAAGCCTAAGTCCTAGGTTGCATCCACCCATTGTTCTCGTAAAGCGCTGTGTTACTGAAGCATTCGCTTCTGCGTCTGCTTATATGTACATAACACCTGTCAGAAGACGGGCCTCTGGACGGTGGGAATCTGGGACTGCCAAGGCTGTCCTCTGGTACCGCGTGGTACAACTCGAAAACTGACTCTTTGGCGTGTCTTCTTGCTGTTAGGCGACTGTTGCCCCGGCGCCTCGAGCATATCCTGTCACTGAATTCGGAGGAGTTGCTTCCTGTTCCCTTCAGTTGCTGTACCATGTCCATTGCTGTCCTGTGCCTCAGCATGATCCGCAGGGCCTGGCGGCATGCCCTTTGCTCTCGCAGACTGTGCTAGGCATTCACCTGGCCTGCATGCAGAGTTCCCAGGCCAGCAGCCATATCCCTCCAGCAGAAGGAGCCTCCGTGATGGCTTCTAGGAGACAGTGTCGTCACCTTCTTGTGCCACTAACACTGCATCCTGTCCGCAGCCTTCCGCATGAGGTGAAGACACCGATGATCCTGGCCTTGGCTGGTGGAAAGCGAACTTCGCCTCGTCTCACACCGAGCAGCCTGTGAGGAGTCCCTAGAGTAAGTAACCTTTTCCGCTCCTTCCTCGCAGTCGTCGCACTGCGATGCCGTTTGCAGCTCCAGTGTCGAGGTTCGCGCGCAGGAAGCTTTGAAACATGACTTGCGACATCGTGGGACTCCGTGGGACCGTGAGAGACCTTCATGGCTCCAGATCGATACCTCTCTCGTGCTTCTTCTTTCTGAAGTCAATCGGCGGTCGATGGCGGTCGGATGCGGTCGGCTTCCGAGGTGCATCCCGGCAATCGAGCCGTGTGTCGCAGTTCCAGCCCAGGAATGGCATTGCAACGCTGCCAACGCTCACCAAGGTTGCAGAAGACTTGTGGATCGTCTTCCGGTTGGATATCCAGCCAAGTCGTCTCCAACTGACAAGTCAATCCTTGGAACATCAATGTCTCTGCTGCCCTGCACATCCTGCACCTTAACCATTCTCAGGTTGGTTCGTTTTACACTTACACGATGCCGATGCCAAACACTGCAAGCTGCAGCACTGCATGAGCTCGATATTCAACGTGCATCGCCATCCGCCCAGTCTCAGCGGGCTGCATGGACCTTGGCCTGCTTCAGGAGCTTCACCTTGCGCACCAGACAACACAGCATGCAAGAAGCCTGACACAGAAAACTCGGGCGCGGCCTCCTTGTTAAAAATCTCTTTGAGCGCCCGGAGTGTGGATTGCCTGGTGCATCATGGTGCATCTGTGCTTCCATTAGCACGCCGTGGGAAGAGGATGCGAGGATGCTCTCAGACTCAGGATGTCTTGCACAAGATCTGCGTGATGAAGCTCGGTCGCACACTGCTGCTTCATCGCAAGAAGCGCATCGTTCTGTAGTCTGGCCAGCTGGCTCTGATCCCAAAGCCTGTTGGTCTAGGTCCACAGCTTGCATTCTTCGGCAACCAGCCATGAATCCCACATCTTACCCCGACACCTCGTGCTAGAAGAAACCTGCTGCAGCTGGTCCTGTCACGAACTGCTGCAACTAAACCTCCTCCTGCTTCACAAACATACAGTCTTTCCAACAAGGTCGCCAGCAAGTCAACCACTCGGTTTGATAACACCTCAGAAATGCAACAAGGCAGTCAGTTCCGGATTCCTGTTGGCGAAGCAACAACAACAACCGAACTAGACACAGATCAATCGTCAAGACCAAGAGCCGCATGCTCAGAGGAAACCTCGTACGCCGCATCCAGTAAATCCTGCAGTACTCACATCACCGTTGCAGCATGGCAGCAGCATGTCAATGTGATGAAGTGTCCTCCCCGGCCCCACCGACAGCCTCCATTGCAGTCTCCTACAGACGCACAGTCTTGAAGAAGCAAATGGGCCGGCAGCAAAGCCTCTATTTCCAGCACAGCGTTTCACAGGTCCTTGGCTTTGAGATTGGCTTCCTGCGCAGTGAAAGCGGCATGCTTTTCCATGCGCAGCTCAGTGGAAGCCTTATCCCTTGAACCCAACTTCATGTGCTCGGAATTTGGATGGACTTCCAAGGACACGTCCGGACATCCCCACAATTCAGAGAGCTCGCAACAAAGCAGTCCTGTGTAGCGATCTGCTGTTGATACTGCAGGAGCCGTTGCCGGCAAGATCTGGCAAATTCCAGGCGGTTTGAGGCTTGGTCCTCCGCGAAGTTGCTATGGAGACCTTGGAGACCTTGGCTTCGAACTCGGCCCATGATGATGATGGAAATCCTCGCACCTACTTCTGCATCGACTGGATAAACGCCATGCATGAAGTCTTGGTCCACTTGAGCATCAAATGCAAAGACATCACCATTCTCTTGGAGGTAGGAGCGCTCCAGCTGGGAATGTTCATGCTGAAACGTCAAATATCGAGCTGCACCAAAGGAAGCTCCGGCAGTGATGTTAAACTCGGCATGGCCATCGTGATGGAACTCACAACCCACAGAGCCATCTTCATAGTAGTTTGCCCACCACTGAAGCATGTCCGCGTGGAATAGCTCGCACAACTTGTGAAGAGTCTTTGCCAAGCCAGGAAGTTTGCGACCATTGGAGTCCACTACTTGTTCGCTTCCAAGACCATTCCTCCAGGGAGTCTTCCATTTTCCATCATTGCCGGGCTTCCAGTTACCGCTGAAAAGCCTTTGGCCTTGGGAAAGCTCCTCCTTCAAGACGTTGAAAAACTCCAAGTTGCCTCTATCGCACAAGCAGCTGGAGACCTGCTTCGTCCCCTTCTCTAGGATGATTGCTCCCCGCTCTTCCTGCCGATCCCGGAGCTCCTGCCTCTGCTCTGTGAGGCGAACAGCCAAGGCCCGGCTTGAGATTTCGGTGCTGATCCATCCCTGCGGCGGACCAGGGCCGGAAACCAGCCTCAAACTGCAATCAAAGTGGCTAGGCGGCTAGGCGGCTAGTCCTTCACCCGCTGTATCCTCTGAGACTCGTCTCTGACTCTAAGATGCCCACCTGAACTGGAGCCGGCTTTCCTGCAGGGCCACCTCTTCCACCACGGCCCCGGTCGGCAAGCGCTGCGCCAACGCGGGGGAGCTCAGCGCTGCACCTCCAAGGGGCCCCGAAGCCCACAAACCCGATGTGAAAGCAGTCTAAAGCGCCTTCACGAACCAGAAGACCGGCTTTCTCCGCACCGCCCACAATCTTCCAAAGCCGTCCCCGGAGTCCGGGCGTTTCAGACATAGCAGGACGCGAGCACTGCAGGTCGCAAGCACCAGCAACTAAAGCAGAAAAGGGCTCAACAGCAGGAAGAATCCATGAAACGAGTCGGACTCTACGACTGTCCAGCGGTCCAAGCGGGCCCCGGGCGTTTCTGGCCATGACGGCACATCACTTCTGGGAGTGAGATCCCGCACCTGAGAGCAGCATGCAGAACCAACGTCGGGTGGACCAAACGGGGGGGATATTGGGGAGGGTGACCATTGCCCCTCGTTTCCAACGAACATCCGGACGGCCTCGGCTTTGGAATGGCTTGCCACAGCGCGAGAGCCTACGGACCGTGTTGCAACGACAAGACTTCGGAGGCATCGCTCAGAAGTGGCCTTGCTGAGACGTGCGAGACGAGCCGGCCTGCAGCAAACAATGTAACAAGAGTACCTCCCTGCTGTTCCTGCATGCTTGTGGCGAACCCAGCTGTGACACACACACACACGCAGACAGCAAACCCTGCGTGTGATCCGCGCACCAGAGGCTTGCTGGAGCTGCTCGATGACTTCGCGAATGCCCTCGCGACACCTGGCCGAGCGAGACTGCGGAACTGGTTTAAGTGATCTTTAAAGTACTCGTCGACAGTTCGGGTTGCTCGGAGGCAGACACAGCAGAGGCGGCGTTGAATTGAAAATGCGAGCACAGTACAGTGCTACATGCAGAACTGCTGCTGAAAGAGTGTTGCTGTCCAGCAGCCCCGGCTTAGAAATCAAAACTGCGCGAAAGCGAACGAGCCTTCTGCCTTCGGCCGAGCCGGGGCCTGGGGGGGCACAGGCAAATATTATGCTTGCTTCGCTGCCGCGCATCTCTGCTGCCGCATGTCTGCTCTCTGCCTTCTTCGCCCTCGCCCCGGAACTCTTTGGTGGCGGTGCGGGGCGAGGGTCTCCTGCCACACCCTCAAGCAATGCTACATGCATTACAGGTGTCATACCAACTTCGATGCGAAAAATGCTGAAATCCTTCGGATCTCCGGGTCAAGGATGTCAATCGTGCCTCAGACTTCGCATAACAGACTGTCATGCGAGTACATTCGCTGTGACAGCTTTGTGGCAAAGTCGGCCAAGCGCCAAACCGACTGCCCAGACCTGTCCGGCTGGGCCTTGGGCGGAGCCTTGGCCAGGAATACTCATCCCGTCGTGTGACCTCTGGGTGAAAGACATACAAAACAGACCCCCCTTCGATCCCCTTCGACTTGCAACACCGCGAAGAGCCCAATGAGTGAAGAACTGCAGACTCGGCGTTGCATCTCCATTGCCGGGACAGTGGCTGGAAGCATCTTTTCTGGAGTGCTGTCCGTCAACCTGCGCCCAACAGCCACGTGGCCGACTTCTGGCAAACTGCTCTCGCAGCCACACCTCCGCTCCGAAGTGGGAGCCTGCAAACTGCTCGATGCCTGACAGCAAGGTGCCGATTCCCTCCCTTCACAGCAGACTCTGTGCTGCCTCCGGCATCTCTGGCATCGCCAAGGCCACGGCATCGCCAGGACGCCTGGCTTGCAATTCCCACGTCTGCGAAAACCATTCCCCTTCGGAATTTGTACAATTCGGTCCGAGTTAGAGCTGCCTATGCTCCTTTCCTGCGTCCACGCTCCTCGTCCGCTGACACTAAAAGACACTCAACACCTGATTTTGGAATGGAAGGAACTCGCCAGCAACGCCGTCTCAGAACTGGCGATGTCAAATCAGATTTTGCTACCGGGGTAACCTGATCTCACGTGCAAGCTACCTTAGCAATCTGCATGGAAGCAACGGGACAGCATGCGCTGACCTTGCCGCTTCCGGAGAGAGAGGCTCGCAGCTTCCCCGACCTCGACACTGTCCGAGCAGAGTGAAATGGCCACCGCTAGGTTTACAGCCAGAATTTGAGCACAGTCACGAGAAGCCTTTTGCTTGACAAGTCTTCGACCGATATTCTCGATCCTGTGAGGTGAAACATGAGCGTGAATTCGTCGAGGTGCATACGCGACCCGCCCCATAGTCTTTGGCTGTGTTCCATCTCGCACTGTGCTTGGCTGTGAAGGCTCTGAATATTCACACCACAGTGGAGCACAGAATCGGCTGCATGCTGCAGATCTGTACACCACCTTCCGTTGCTCGGATGCCGCGACCTTTGAAGAGCAGTGGCATCAGCACACCGATGCCAGGCCACAAAACGCAGCCCTGTCAACACTTGTACACCAGAATGGCCAGCTCACCCTGGTAGTAGCCTCGGAAGATCAGGGCATCTTGCGTTCAGAGTATTTCAGAGTCCCTGCACTAAGCTTTTGCACACAACTGCGAGCTGAACGGCAGTGCATCAACGTTCCGTTTTGTGCTGTGACATCGAAGCAGAACCTGAGGCATGAATACTGACGCAGATTCTGTCTAACTGATTTGTTACACTATGCAGCTGTGCCACCCTTTGCCCATAGCGCAGTGCCAATTGAAGCCGTAGCTCTTGTCTAAGGCATCCTGTCCGATTCTGGTATGCTGGTCTACTGACCCACGCTTGAGCACAGGCGTGGATTCGTGGATCTGCCTTAATCGCACGGGTCGCCCCTTCAAAGTTCACACCAGTTGGCAGTGTGAACTTGTCGATTGAACCTGCGCGTGCGAAGCAGCAAGCAAATTGCTTGACCAATAGCTCGATAAGTGCACTGCCTGCAATGATGTCGACAACTTCAGTCTTCATGTCGTTTGGCATGTCCGTGTGCTTCACCTTTGGATCCAGGTGGTGCCAGGCAGAACTGGCAGTCATGCTGGACTGATGATGTAAGCGCCATCTCATGATAGTTTCGAAATTTGGGCCGTGTTGCCTCAGGTGGTCCTTACAGTTTGCTTGCCGCCCTCTCGGCCAAGCGGCTGTAGCCTTCTGCATCTGCTTCTTCAGGGAGTTGGGAATCGGGCGGCCCGCCATGGCTTTGTTCTCCTGTCAGAGCCTTCGAGTCTGGAGGGAACCTTTGAGCTTGTCAGGCTTCGGCAGTGGCATGAGCAGTGACGTCAAGCTTGCAAACTTTCAGAGAGCACCAGAGAGCAGCGAAGAGCATGATAGAGACAGAGACAGACAGAGCAGTCTGGCCTCGTCTTGGGTTTGAAGGTGTGGTCAGAGGTAACTTCGCCTTGCTCCCTCTCAGCCTTCTTCGCCTTGGCGGCCTCGACCTCGCGAAAGCTGCCAATTCCACAGCCTGGCCTCTGAAGCGACTGAGGGTTCTGGTACAACGCCTTTGCAAGACACCTTCACGCCTCCCGTCCCTCCTTTTTGCTTACTCCCTCCTGGTTCTTGCCTCCATACAGTATCCTTCCAAGAGACCTAGCCTTGCGAAATCGCCGCCCAAATCCCGCCTTGGCTCTGCGCTTCTCTGCCCACTCACTGGCATCGCTCGCCGTCGGGGCCATGTAAAGACTAATGACTAATGCTCTTTGCCCTTCTGGTGCAGTCTCTGCCGGCTGCAGACCTTCTTTGGTTTTCTGGCTTCCCACGAATTTGAATCAGCGTAAATCTGCCACGGCGTTTCGAGCCAACCCCACCCACACACCCACGCACAGACACAAGTGAATCCAGCAAGATTGCAGCTGCATGAGGTGGTCGGCAAAAGTTGTAGAAGCCCTTTTGAGATCTCTGGGCGAGCGCAGCTGAAGCTTCTTGGGATTCCTCCCTCAGAGAATCGACACAGAGACATCAAGAGGAGCACCAACGAGATTTGCGAGCCGAAGTCGATGGTCCAAGTTGGAAAACATGAATTTCTGCCGGCTCCCCTGCTCCAGCTTCGGCGCAAGGTCGCACCGCTCGAAGAGTACAGCGGTTGGTTGAGGCGGACTAGGCTCATCGGCTGCGACGTGGCGACCGATGGTGACCGCTGGTGGCAGGGCTGGACCAGCGGGCCAGCGAATCGAGGACTCTTCGAGGATCTTCCAGTCCACTTTCAATTTCGGTTTCTGTAGGCTTCTGTCCTCGGCTTTCGGTGACACTTTTGCACACCTTTGTATGCAGCTCATGCTGCAGAACCTTGGGGGCAAGGGTCCCACTCAATCGAAATCATCCTCCGCGAAGCCGGGCACCCCGGTGACTGTGTATCGCCTGCGCCATGCATGGCCGACATCTGCATTACAAAATCTTGCCCCGTAGCACCTGAAGACCTGCTACAACAAGCGAAAGAAAGGAGCGAGCGAAAGAGAGAGAGAGAGAGAGAGAGAGAGAGATAGAGGGAGAGAGACGAGGGGAAGAGACTGAGCTAGAGAGGGGGAAAGGGAGACGGTGAAAGACTGACGGAGCGAAAACGAGGTGAGCCTGAAGCCCATCCGGTCGATCAGCATGTCAGCCTGCGCAGCTGCTGAGCACCCTTTGCTTTGCATGCTGCTCGGCAGGTGCCTGTGAGTCTTGGGCCGGTTGATGGTCGGAATGAACTGAAGATCGAAAATTCATCCTACTCACACTTGCGGGGAGCAGCCTGCTGTAGCAACCGGCTACACTAGAGGGTGAGCAAGCGGCTAGGTCCAACACAGGCAACGCATGCCGCGGGAAGACTTGGCGATTTTTATTAAGATGTATTCCATTCACATAGAAACAAACATTTGTCAGGCAACTGTGAGCTGCATGCGTCGCACCTTGAACGGACCCCGGCTGCCCAAGGTGTATCGCTCCGGTTCTCGCATCTGTAGGCAGAGGACACAAGACGCACACAGTCAGTGAGTTCATGGCGACAGCGCAGGGAAGCTATCTGAATGGTGGCAGCGTAGCCCGTGCTTCTAACGCGAGAATACGCGAGATACCACGCTGAACATTCCAGTTTCTGAATTCCTCGGCCTCTTCCTTCTCCAGAGTTGTCAGCAACGGATCGAAGATTCGCCACGCCTACCATGTGCAACTCCTGTTGCATTCAACGCTGCATCGCTTAATCACTTGAGAAGGCAGCTGCTCACAAAACACAGAAACACGTTTTAGGCTCTCTGTAGCTCTTTGGTGACAGTCTCCTGAGATGTCTCCAATTGCTGATTTGGGGCATCACTGTGCGAGTTGACCGGCCTGTTCGAGCTCGTCACGCCGGACAAAGTTGTGGCTTTCCTTTTCAGAAGGGCTCGAGACATGATGCTGTTCTTCTGGTTCGATTCTTGATCCTCCGATCATGGAAATCGGCAGTTCTGCCCAGGTTCGCCCTGGATCACGTCGTGAATCAGCTTCTCGTAAGCCTGCTACCAGTAGGAGCAGGCAGCAACCAGATTGAGGCATGCGACTTCGCACGCTGCATTTTCCCATTCTGCACCCACTGTTCCAGGACTGCGCTTGCAAAGTCCGGCCGGAGTCTCGTGCAACGGGAGGCCGCTTAGACTTCAAGTTGATGCAGCCGAGGTCTGCTTCGTCCGAGCTGTACCGCTGGGCGGCGACTGCGAGTTCGGAGATGGAGACTGCAGAGACCTAGAGAGGCGAGCCCAAGGATGGGGGCAACGGGCGCCCCTTTAGAGCGCCTCGCCTTTGCACAGCACCACAGAGATTGCCACAGGGAGTCCGATTTCTTCGGCACCGGGCCAGAAGACCACTGTCGCGTCAACCAGCTGCAAAAGCAGATAAGCGTGCATGAGCACAACTGCTAGGAGGAGCTCAGATCCGTTCGTACACAGCCCCCTCCGGGTGCAAAATAAGCATGTCCTGGCAAACATCGGTCTTGGCGTACAACTTCAGGCTGCACTGCGAGTCAGGGTTAAGCTTACAGTGGAGTCGCAGAACTGCTCGCAGCCCCTTTTGATTTCAGTTGCTTTCGAAGCGAGACTCTGGGGAGCCCTTCAGCCTCTGCTCTCACTGGCTCGAGTTTGTTCCGCTCTGGCAAGTGACGGTTGCAGGAGTTGCAGGTCTGGCCTAAATCCGCCGAGGCCACCGGCCAGGCGTCTTGGAGTTAGCTCAAGTGCCCTCCTGCCCTCCACCTAATCCCTACACCCCCTACCCCCCCCCTCCCCCCCTACCCCCCCCCTCCCTGCTCCTGTGCCCTGCCCTCTCCCCAGCTTGGCCCAGGTAACAGGCAGGTGACATTTGAAGAGGCTGTTGGTGCAGTAGAAACTCCACAAGCTCTGGGCTTCTGCTGCGGACATGCACCAACGCTACCGACGTGTGTCCCGTGCCCTCTGCCCCTCAGCAGCCGAGGCAGGCGGCGTAGCGTTAAAATTATTGCACAGGCTGCACCGGCTCGTTGCTTGTCCCCTGAACTTCTCGGACAATGGAACAAACACACCTGAAGCCGGAGCTACTTGGGCCAAGCCAAAGCACAGCATCTGAGAAGCTCCGACGAGCTTGAACCTTATCCCGAACGTCTATTCAACTAAGACACAACAAGACCAGAGCATCCGACACCCAAACTGCTGGCTGACCCGAAATGGCAAATAGAAGCAAAAAACAACTTCACCTTATACAGCCGACCTGATCACCCGACACGAACCTGCTGTCCGAACAAGAAAACCAATGATGTCACCGGCGAAATGCAGCACCTCTGTGCACTTCTTGTCTGCTCGTGAGTTGCAAAAAATCATGGCCATGTACTTCTTTCAAACCCCTTTACCACCGGCCCATTCCACCTTTAACAGCCTCCAAACATGCCTCTGCTGCGTACACGCCCAATTTCGGCAGCTGTTTCGCCGAAGTAGCTTCTTGATAGAACAACCTTGCCCAGCCATTCAGCTAGAGGCAGCGCATGCTGAAAAGACCTGAAACTGATTCGTTTAAGACAACGGCAGCAGCAGCACGGCCGAACAGTAGCCACTCCGCATAATTGGCCGCAGTACCGCTAAGCCTCAACAAGGACAAGAAATATCGGAATGCTGACTGAGTTTGTCATGTAGGCAGCCGTAGGCACGTCCATCGACAGTATTCAGTCACTTTGGCATTCCCAGGGTGCCCACGTTTCCTCCATGCCCGATCGGTCGATGTGAACGCGACCCCGTGCCTTGCAAGGCGACCGGCCGATGTGGCTCCAGAAGAAAATCCCGATACCTCCGGTATTCGAAGCTTGCCAGTCTTCGCCTGTAAGCAAGCAATAGCAAGCACACTCGGAATTGTTCAACAATTTCGTCGCAGCCTCAGGAAGCTCTGATGCCAGCTCAATGATTCTGTTGGAGTCCGTTGCCAGCAACCACGGCGTTTCCAGATCCAATCCTAAGCACACTAAGGAAACCTCCGACACCAAGACGCAACGACGTTTGCCTTTGGCGACCAGGCCCACTCGGTTGCCGGGGATGGAGTGGCAGGAATCACACAGAGTGTTGGGCAGGCCGTTTGTTGGGCGTTTGCGTAACACTTTGCATCTACACGGACGACTTTCAACTCGAGCTAGGAGACGACAGCATACAGCAAGAGCTTTACTAAGACCACAGCTATCACTAGTCACTGGATGTCGCTGGTGGTACTAGAGAGCAGAACTGGTATCGCCCACGATATAGTTACAGTAGGAGTAGCACTACTGGATTACTACTAGTGGTACTATCCACTGGTACCAACAACGAGCCTGGGCTGTCAAAGTGAGAGGCAGGCTGTGCTGTGTTCTTGACCCACGAGTACTTGCTTGCTCGCTTGCTTAGCTTGCTTGAAGCTGGACAGTCATTGCACCAAACAGCTCGACACCTAACTGGATTAATTGCCTGTACTTACGACAGATCAGTTACTTTGTTCTTCAAGGTGGGTGGTAAACCCAATTCATCCCCAGCCCATCCGACCCGAATCAAGTTCCCCTCCCAGCCCCGAGCCCGTTCCAATTTCAATGTGGGGGACTAGAACGGGAGGAGATTTTGCTTGCCGCAGCTGTTTTGCATTGTGCTTCCCTGGGAGCTCTTGCAGGGCGAGGCCTTTGGCACGAACTGGCCTCGCAAGGGCCAAAGCAGGTCTGTGGTCGATTTCTGTCGCTGCGAAGCGACTGCCGACATGTCCAATAGCAAACCCATTCTCAGTCCCGTTAGACTTCTGGGGCTTAGGTGATGAGCACCACCATCTTCTTTGGGTTGCAGAGTTGCAAAGGCCAGACCCATTTCGTTATCAGGTCCAACATGGAACAGAATCGCGCAAGATGACTCTGAATGATCACTAGACCCGAGTTGGACGACGGACGGCACGAAAACAATGCGCAATCTCTGCTGAGAGGCCCAGATCGCGTTCTGCCTTCTGTGCGCAGTCCAGGAAAGCCTGAGATTGTTTTGGGATTGCCGAGTCGAAACCTAGGCGACATCTGCCTGCAATTCCTCCGGAGCATGTCGCGCCGGATCCCAGGCAATCTCCCCGGTACCTCCAATTTCGCCGCTGTGCATCTCCTACTTTTTCGCCGGTCCGAAGGAACGAGGGCCAAGCGCAGATGGATGCCTATGAAGGTGCTCCTCCTCAGCGAAAGCCTTGGCTTCCACGTTGAGTGTCAAGAGAGTTGGTGAGAAGCAGATGACCTGGCCACCGCTGTGGCATCCTACAAATGCATTACTTGGCATCTCACTCGGTGCGAAGTGAATGTAACTCTTGCCGGAGCAGTTGCGTGGGCGCGAAGAGCCTGCCATTTTCTCCCACACAGAAAGGACACACAATCGAGGTTTGGGAAGACAAGCTGGGCTCACACGTCGAAGATCTCTGCAGCAAGGAACGGTGGTGCATCATGTGGCAGACCTGTGCAAAGCTTTGTCGGTGATGCTTCCCGGCTGGTGCAGCTGATGTCTGCGAATGTTTGGGCCTAGCTGCTGAGCAGCTTTGCCGAATGCCGGAGCCTGCCGCACACGCAGACAATCACTCCAGCCAGTAAGGCATGTCACGTAGTAGACCGCCTCGAAAAGGGATCGTATCATCCGGTAGTTCCTTGAAGATGGACGACCCGCAAAAGCATGGCTTCCACTGAAAGAACAAGCATGCATGACCCGTGTGCTTGCAAAGTGACATGTTGATGACTAGCACCTCTTCATTGGAGGACGCGAGCTTGTCTAAGTCAGCCTTTCCGTGATGCGCAATGTGCAGCAATGCCGGGGCAAATAGACTGCAGGCTTAGATGCCTCGAACTGCCAGCGCTTGTCGTGATAGGACAGGTGCCGGAGCCCAGCCTGTGCCCAGCAAAGTCGCAAGCGCCTGGCAGAAGAAAACCTGACAGCATCTCACAGTCTGTGACTGAGAAGGGCGCCGTTGACCTTAGACCACCGGACACCTCAAAGCAGCCAATGTCGAGTCATCATGGAATCATGGGGTCAGATGGTCTTTGAATCCTTGAGGCGTGCTCTCGCCAGTCGATGCTGCGGGGTTGCAGCAGAAGTTGTAAAGGTAAAGGGCTCTCCGAGTCGATGAAGAATGCGCGGCCTGTCAGGACCTCGCCAATTCGAAGAGGAATGCCCACGGCAACTCTTGTGGTCGCAGTCTGAGGCGGGGCTGCAAGCAAGAAAGTCGTGATGATGCCGTTCAGGCGATCACCATGACCACCACATTGAGCAAAGGGTGTGCAGCTATAGACCTGACGGGTCAGTGGAGCACAAAGACATCTGATAAGATGTGACAAGCACCATGCGTATTGGCACAGCCAGTAAAACTCCTTTCGTGATACCGGCCGGAGTGCTGCTGGGTTTCTTATCCGAGTGAGTGTTACTCGACATGTTTGCAAAGCTAGGTTACTATGACCGCAAGTCCAACACTTCGACTACACTTCACGACTCGGATGATTACGATGCATTGGCGTCCCGCCGTACTATGACGGTATCAAGCCTCTAAGGCTCCTCTCGTCACGGCGCCGCAACGGCTCGTAGACTCATAGCTCTGAATGTGATTCAGATGGTTTGGACAAACCCGTGCGAATCTGAGCCCAGCACCAATGTCTTCGTATTGCCTGCAACCTTTCAAACAGGAGCTGTTTCGGAAAAGGCTATCCAAATCACAGAGTTTGTTCTGTGCAGCGGCCGTCCTTGTTTCCAGCGTGCTCTGACTGTCCAGATGCATGCGACTTGAGTGTCACGACTGCCGCTTGGTGGAACGCTATGTACTTGGAGATGCGCACTGCCTTGCAGGATACACTAGCGGCTAGCCTTTGAAATTGACGCCGAATGTTGGAGCTTCACTCGAGTCTTAGCTTCCAGCAAGAGGGGTTCCTGCGGACAGGGTATCCGGATCCTCGAGTCTGCCACTTGCCCACATGGCATGCCAGCCCGGGTATGGACATGCACTCAAGAGGCTTTCTGCCGCAGCATTTGATCTGTGATCGGGTGCACCTGCCACAGGCACATTCACAAATGCACTTGGCAAGTTGTCTGTTCTGATGTGTCATGGGGGGATTTCTTACATGCGATATAAACAAGCAACTGCTGCCAGCGATGCTACCAGCACCCCTGACCTTTCTTCAAATGCCCCGGGGTAGGTCTTCACATGGTCTTCACGAAGCCACAAGTGATCGCAAGTGTGCTGCTAATCGCTGCTCGCCTGTAATGCCTTTGGCAGCGGCTTCGCGCAATGCCGCTATGCCCTACCACACGTGGAAGGCCCTCTCAGGGTCCTGCTGATCGAGGGTCCATGCCAAACAGGACTTCCGGATCCTTGACGATCTGAAGCCTGCGGCTCTCAGCAGCTGCACTTCGCAGACGTAGCCCCTTGCACTGTGCCTTGCAGACGGCACCCTTTCAACCGCTGCCGCCAGGGCGAGTCCCGGGCATGCTGCTTCAGGGCCTGAGCGACGAGTGATGCTCTTGCAGCAACTGCCTCAAACAAACTTTCGTCCTATAAATCCAGAGCAAAGAGTCATCAGTCTCGGACGAAAGTCCATCAGCCATACCGATGCTGTGGGTCCTGCAACGACGTAGCAGCGCGTGGCCACTGGCAGGAGCCAGCATCCGAGCCCTGAACCCCAGATTGCGGTGCCCAGGTGCCATGCCGCGTGGGCTGCACTTAGAGTAGCAGCCTTTGCGATTTGCGAAACTAATGCGCCGGTTGTGACACATGCCTACAGTACTCGTGGGTGGCGAATGCCAGCGTTGGTGCAGCATGTGCAGCCATAAAAAACTGAACGTCAAAGCCTTAGTACCTAACGTGGCGCCGCCAACCGAAGTGTGGTTGAAGGTCCGCTGGCCAGATATCCTGCGGACAAAGAGACGGTGCAGCTGAAGGTCTCAAGACATAGCTGAAGAGGACAACATAGGACGGATGTATGCTCTTCAAGTCAACGGAGCAGCGGATTATGACACACCACAGCAGGCAAAAACAAATATTCGTGCGGAAATCAGTTACAGCTGAAGCCTCGTAGGGCTTTTCAGGTGTTTGGCGAAAGGGGAGTTCGCGACCTATCGCGGCGTGTTTTGTTTATGGGATTAGCTTTCACAAGACACTCACTCTCCAAGCGCGTGCATCTAGGTCAAGCTTCAGCCGTCGGGTGAGGGGACTGGGGCAAGCCGCTAGCAACAGGCGCGCGTCAAAGGTGGAGAGCTTCAAGGACCTGAATCTATCTAAATCTCGGAGATTCTCAGATTCGGTGTTAGATATGAGGCCAGTTGAGGCTTGGAGTAGGTTCAAGTTTGTAGAGCCATGTTACTGCTCTCACTTGGTTTAGGATTCAAGCACAGGTTGCTAGGCGAAGATGCGGGTGCAGGCGCACGTCCTCCAGCGCCGAATCTATGCTTCGTGGAAGAAATGAAGTAATTAGCATGCTGGGTACAGTCCAGAGACAGCCCCTAAACTCTAGATCAACTCTTGCAGGCACAAACGACGCCTACCGTGACACAACGCAAGGGTGCCTTCATCGTCGCGAGAGTAGATGCGTGTGTCGGATGAAGACATTTTGGCCTTAGCATAGCTCATCTTGTCACGGCATGCATGGGAATGCTAGGCAAGAAGGTTGCGTCACGGATTGAGGCGAATGCTTGTCGGGGTCGCCACTATGGCAATTGTAGCCCAATGCCTGCAAAACAACCGATCATGCTCAAGATGTGACGAGTCTTGCATGGGAACAAGCTTGCCGCCTCCAGGGCAGTCCCACAGCTGTCTTCCAGGAAAAGGCAATGTGGACCCTCCAATCGATTGGTCAAGTCCTTTGCACAACACATCTGCGTCGTTCCTGCTTGGAGGGGTGTGGGCAAATCAACCAAGCCATGTCCACCAGGTAAATTCGAAAATGCAGGGCTGTGACGGGTTCCTGAACTGTCTGCTGGCTGGTATGATTGGAGATCAGCACCACCAACCTCACGCAAAGCCCACGGAAGTGATGAGTAAATGCACGCAGCTTGAACGAATATTCTGTGTCATCTGAATGATCTGAATTTTTCAGCAGAGTTGCCCCATGGCCGCATCTGGATCTGGTGATGGGTCAGACTGCAGCTCACAGTAGCGTTCCAACACTCTGCAGTGCTACGGGTTCCAGTTTCTCACATGAGATGTGTGCAGCGAATCAGGTCGGCAGGAGACCAGAAAACCGCTCTCTTGAGTCTTGGCCTCGTTGGCCATTCTCGGAGGAAGATCCGGAGTCCTTGCAGGCTCTTCCGGGAGATCCTGCAATCCAGCTTGTTGAAAGATAGGAGGAATACCAAATGCTGACAAGTCCTCCTCCACTGACCCCAGACCGCGCAGTTCAGGTGCCAAGCCCCACAGAATCTGGGCCGTTGCATGGCCCTGGGACCAATGGTTCCTGTGGACAACTCAATGTCAAGTCTGATGCCCTGCAGGCACAGGCCTTGGAGATATTGCGAAGCACAGGATGTCCAACTGGTGCCTCAGAGTCCAGCAGCTTTCTCCGGCAAACATCAGATCAGCAGCTCGGTGAGCTGCCCAAGGCGAGCAGGGGCTGCAATCACGGCACCTGACACGAGAAAAGTCTTCTGTGCTGCGCATCTGCCATCTTTGCCATGCTACTTAGAGCAGCTCTTCTCGTCCGAGCCGCTGAAGAGACGTTCGGCAGCTTCGTGAAAGTCGTCCAAAAAGCCCTCCTTGCAGTGCGTCACCCGAGCGCCACACAAATCGAAGGTATCAGCGAGCCACTTGAGGGTCTCTTTTGGCGTCCTCAAGGATCGCCATCCGCGCCAACCGCGGCCCTTGGAGACGTCGCGCGATCCTGACATGGCTATGGAAGTACGCAATAACGCAGGAAGCTTGACCACTCGAAAAAACCCTGCTGTTTCAGCAATTCGGCCGGACGCACGGCCACTGCAGCAAACCTGCAACCTTGTGAAAAATGCCAATGCTCACGAATAAAGAGTCGTGTCTTCTTTGTTGCTGCCTTCACACCATTGGCCCGGATTCAGGCTGTCAGCGTGCTCCAAATGCGATGGCTATATTATATCTTCGAACTCGTGCTCCAACTCTACGATCAATGAACTAACTCTTGCGTGCTCGTCTGCCCACTGAGACTGGGGTTGCGACAGCTTCTTCCAGCCCGTCTTTGATACTGACCTAAGGACCATCACGAAATATTTAAATCGCTGTCTGTCATGTAGGGACATCAAGGCCTACAAGCAGACAAACACACAAACAAACAAACAAGCAAGCAAGCAAGCAAGCAAGCAAGCAAGCAAGCAAGCACACACACACACACACATACCCACCACTACTTGCTTGCACCTGCTCGTGGCATCAATTAGACGCAGTATCCACAAGACACCGCGACAAGCCGATCGAGCGCGCAGCTGTAACCCCAACGAGCTGTTCCGCAACATACTGTGGCAGACAACGCCTGCATCGTAGATGGGCAATGAGAGAAGTGCCAGCAGTAGGTGGTACACAATCACAGCAGGATAGTCTAAGCAGCTTGAGAATCCGGTCTCGTCCCTGACATGCCTCTCCACGTCAAGCTCTGCGACGACAACAGACTGCTCATCGATGTTCTCCTTGCATGGTGAGAATGAAATAGGCCTCGGCATAATTGAACAATAAAGTGCCTGCAGGCGCTGGAACTTTGCCAACGTGTCTGCAATCTCTTTGATGGTGAGCTGTTCCTGGCCAGGTGCAGGCCGGCCCGAACTTCCTCAAAAGCAATCTTTAGAGGACTTCCCTGCTGAGGGTTTTTGGCCTGTAGGACCGCCAAATCCTCGTCTTCGGCCTTGTAGCAGAATCGGCAGAGACCTGACACTGCAAGGGCTGCCGTGGAGGGCTGGAAGCCAACCTGGCCTGAGAGCACCAAGTGCTTAACAGACTCCAACGAGTCCAAAGCATCATGCAGCATCACCTGCAAAGGTGTGCAGGATGGCTGGTCGCCTGTTACAGCCGGTCAACGCGCGCTGTCCAGGGGGCCGCCTTTAAGGCTCCAGCTCGGGGCACAAGCAGGGCCTGCCAAGGCATAGCGAGCAAAAAGTCTGCAAAACAACCTAGCAGCACCTAGCAGCAGCACACCCTTTGTTGACATGGGCCGCCCAACGACCGCAGGCACGAGTTTCTGCCTGTACACAGCCTGTACAGATCTCACGAGCCCGGAGCCCTTAGAAGCACCGGATAGCTCGCGTAGCTCTCTGTAAAGCATCTCAAAAGTCGCATGAATCGCAGGAGCAGGAGCAAGAATCTTGGAAGATCTATAACACCGTATGAGATGCCATGCTTTGCACAGGATGAGCTAATTGCGCATCTGTGCAGCAAAATCAGGAGCAGGCAAACCAGTGAGGCCACCGTTTGGCCACTTTGAATTCATCCCCGGTAATGCGAGCTTCTGTCAGTAGCTTCGTCAAGACTATGACTATGAAGATGCGTGCAAGATGCTGCGCTTCACCCTCGGATGCGTAGCGGGGCGGCGCAATCGAAGTTGCTCACCTCCCTGGAGGATGGACTTGGAACATCTCGCCTATGTACACGGCGATTGCTAGTGCTAGTTACACCCTTCGCGCATGCGGCGGCACGTATGCTCGACTCGAACGCACCAAAGGGATCTCAGCCTCTTCACCTTGCTTGCCGCTGTCCAGTCACGATGGAACAAACCCTAACAAAAGGCAAGATCCATGTTGTCCCTGGCTGGGCAAAGCCGCAACTGAGGCAGCTGCTGTCGTCAGACTGTTGCTCAGACGTCACCGTGAGCCCATACTTGGAAACCTGAGCTGAACACTGTCTGCTTTCCTCTGATATATAGCCGCCCACTCAGAACGACTTGGACATAGCGCATCCAGCCAGATTGTTCGACATTCCGCCTCTGCCAGTCGAGATCCCGGTTCCGGCTGCATGACTTTCACTAGCCTGGTCAGCTCCTCTCCAACATGTCGTCGAAAATTGTCCTGTCAGCTGCGAGAGGGATGTGGTGTGGCTGGTTGCGAATCCCTGCCGGAACCTCTTAGAGGAACCCTTCGGGAGGAGCGGGAGAGGGATGGACTGAGAGCGGGACAAAGAATTCTGCTGGATCTGTTGAGCTACCTACCACCTCCTGTGGGTGCCCACTCAGTGAAAAACGCTGCTACAATAGTCGTGCTGAGAAGACCTTGACAGGAAAGCCCTTGGAATAGGCTGCCATTGCAGCCACAAGTCCCGAAAGTTTCTTCACTCCCTCCTCCAGCATCTGCGTCCACTGCAGCTCCTTCCCCGTCTGGAGTACGCGGTTGAAAATGCAACCGTCTCTGGTCGTCTCGGAAAGCGCTGTAGCACGAAGAGATACTGTCCTCCCCAACGAATTGCCTCAGGTGATCAGGATGCACACTCCGGACGCTACTCCGTGCCAGTGACATGTGGTGCCTCTGTCGGGTGCACTTGTCGCTGCTGCTGCCGAGGAGATGCAGTTCCGCACTATGCCTGGGAAACCGTTAATGCACAGGCATCACAGATCATAACAGCTCATGCTCGCACCCCTCCCAACTCGCAACAGACTGGCCTTCTACCTTGCTGGGTCTTTCAGGATGCCCGTCTGCTCGATACAGGGCTGCTGCGATTTGGTGCAGTGTGCATCCCCGAGACGCAGCAACCTCCAGGCAAGAAAAGCACAACGCTAGTGCTCACTCCAGACTTCTGACACTTCTGACAGTGTTCTCGTGCATCTCTTTACTTCCATTCTCCTCGGGGTCAAGCGGGCGATGCGAGTGGACATGTCAGGATTTGGACAAGACTTAGACTTAAACGGGGTTTGCAACAGAGAAACGAAACATTAAAATATATGTTTTCTATTATACCCGTGAAAATCTGAGAATTGGAAAAACCTGATTTCACTCGGAATCCGGTCTTCCTAAGTTTTCCTTTCTGTCCGTCAGAACAAAACAAACAGTGTGGAAAAGAGGAAACTAATGAAAGTAATGGGAAGCGCCTGCCTTTTTGCGTGAATCGTTCGCTTTCCTCATGCGTCCCTGTTTTCCCGAAAATCGACAGATCAGGGAGTGAAACAGGCAGCACCCGGTTTCCCGTCCCTAGGAATCTTGTGTGCATCCTGCTCCGCGACTTTTCCTAAGTTGTTCTTGCTGTGTCCCCTTTCAAGCAGGGAAACTATGAAAATACGGGAAAATAACATAACACGATTGATAAACACCGAGCTTTCCCCAGCGTTTTATTGTGTTGTTGCTTGCCGATGTTCAGGAATGCTTTGCTAGTTTCTGTAGCTTTGCTTTGTCCATGGCGTTCTTATTGTTAGGTCCTGCTTTCTTATGCGTTAATTACATGTATTGCCTATGCACCTGCAACTTCTGTAGCAGAAGGCGCTTCAAGACTCTCGACAAAGCAGGGCCTGCAACCAGAGTGTCGAGACCTCCATGAGACGCAGGCAGTTCCGTTCCAGGCCAAGCGTCGCCGACAGCTTCCTGACAAAGTGTAGGTTTCATACAGCTTAGCTCGAGCAGTATAGCAAGAAACTGAAACCTGCGAAACTGCGAGAACATTCCCGAGTCAAGATCACCAAGCAATCCGACGGAGGCCTGGCATCGCCTTCGCCATCCAATTGTGCGATATAGGCTAGCTCATCTTCGCCAAATGGCTCCTCGACTCAAAGCTGGGCACTGGTTTTGCACATGAAACCAAGCACGTAGCACTCCTTACTCTGGGGCCAGGAAGACCACGCAACCTCCGACAGCGTGAAGTCAAGACGATCAGGGAAGGTACAGCCGTGATCGATGGGAACAAGCTTGTGACCACGTCCTTGGACAAGCCTTGGCTGTCAAGACGCTGGGAAACTGCACTTGCTCTAAGGTCTTAAGCTGCTGGGCAAGATAGGACAGCATGCATTGGCATACGGAGCAGCTTTCCATGAGTGGACAGAGGCCCCGACATCCTTTACAGTTTAGATTTCAGCAACCACGGGATGAAGAACCGCAGGAGAATCGACGCGCTGAAACGGGCACACAAGCCCTCTGCTTGAAAGTACCAAGCGGAAGCGACATGAAGGAAGTGACTTCAAGGGAGGCCAGGACAGAGGGGAGAAATCTCCACGTAATTCACAAAGCTGCCGGAACAGTCACACAATATGTCAAATGAAAAGAAAACGGCAAATCGACATTCGCAAAGCATGGAGGGTAATGTTCCCACTCATGTGTTTATGTTAGAAGAAGCATTGCCGACGTGCGAAGTCAGGAGAACAAGCGACCAATCGCAGCTCCGGGAGAGTACAACAACTGACTCAGCCAAATCTCCGGAAGGCTAAACTGGAGCTAACATGAAGCTCTAATAAGCACGGGCCGGGATGCAGCCTAAGGTCTAAACCACCTATGCCTCTGGCCCTCTATCAGCCTGCTGACACTGCTCTACCAGGCCCTGCTGCTTCCGAAGCTTCTTCTGCTCTTTTGAGCGTCCTTCAAGCCGCAGGATAGCTTCTGTTCCGAATTTTTTCAAAGGCTTTCCAGGCTGTTCTTCCCAAGCAGCGCCCAGAAAGGGTGAAGAAGCTGTGGGAGGCCGCAGCTAGGGAGCAGAGGCTTCAAACGGTTGCAACAAAGCTGACGGGATGATAGAAAACCAGAAGCGACTGGCTAGCAGTGGTTTGGTCGGACACAAGCTTCAAGTTTCAAGGAATCGGATAAGCAGGTTCGGAAGCATATCTTTCAATCAAGATCTTTCAAGTGGGTCGCCCCAGCCTTGCAGTTCCACAGCTTTACATCCGCTGCTGTTGACAGAATTTCAGTTGCATCTGTAATTTGCAGCGGCCGTGTTTTGTCCGAAATCGTTGCATTTGGGGAGTACTGCTCCTTCTTCCACAACTCTGCGTGCTAGCAGTGATGTGTATGGCTATGGAAGCACACGTGTACAGATGGGGGCAGGAGACCAGCAGCTATTTTGTGGCTTCGGCTCGAGGAATGCTTGATAGGCGCGACACGACCTTCAGGGCAATTTACAGTCAAGTCGAGAGTCATATTGCTCAGGTTGCGATCAAAGTTCAGTGTACGAATATCCAGGATTCCAATTCTGTGAACATCTTGAACTGCATGGACAGTGTGCCCGAAGTCTTCAGACATCTCGGCATCTTTCACGAATGCCTGAAACGCACCAACTTTCCAAACGACGTGGCTATCGCCGTTGATATTAACTGGCACGAAGGCTTGATGCCGGCATCTGACCTGCCAGGGAACCACGCTTCTCGAAATCTGCAAGCCAATAAATTCTAAACTCGATGCATGCAGCAGTTCCGACTGCTTTGAAGTTACAGTATCCATATTTCAGCATCCGACCAATGTCGTCATGGGAACAGACGCATTCCCCTCAAGGCCATCACCAGAATCCAGCAAGAAAGCCGCGACTTCCCGCACTGCCCTGTGAGCGGATGCCACCGCAGCCTGCCAGCGCCGGGTGTTCTCCTTGCCGGGGTATCCGCGCGGATTCTGAGGCGCGCCCGCTTCTTCATCCTTAGGCTTGAACCTTGGGGGCCAAACGCGGCGTCAAGCATGCACCAGCCGCCACAAAGCCTAGCCGTTGCCTACCATGCCTACTGCTTCAAAGGCCAAGCAGCACTGCCAGAGTCTCTCCAGCTCGGCTTTTGAGAAAATAGGTTCCACCAGAGCCATTCTCTGCAAGAACTGGCAGGACTCCGCTGTTAAGCCCATGAGCACATTCCTCAAGCCTCTCTTGAAGCTCCGAAGGGCAGGGCACGTCGCAAAGTGCCAGCTGAAATCCTTCTGCTGCGCTGGGACCAATCACCAAAAAGTGCAAATCCAGCTGCTTCTCGTCTGGGGTTGGCCTCCAGTGCTTCGTTATGGGATTTTCGTCTGTGAGTTCAACTCCACGATGCAGCAGGCGAATCTGACTGTTTGGAACCTGAGCCAGCTCAGGGCATTCTGAGCGGATCAGGGCCTTCAGCACATCCGCGGAATTTGTTGAAAGAGCAGAGACCGACAGGGAACCACAGACAGAAAAGCACAAGGAGTGCAAACGCACATCCACCGTTTCGACCTCATGGCCGACATAACCACAGTGTGTTGAAGGCTTCGGCTGATCGGCAATGCTTCGCTGCAGCGCCATTGAAACCACGGGGGGGTTCCGGGGACTGCGGTGGCTGCGTGCCTTTGTCTCTGACAGCGCCATTTTCGAGCCAGGCCGGCATGACGCACTTCGTTTGGAGCTTTGCGAAGACGAAGAAACCGACCATGCGAGCCATGTTCACTGAGTTTACGCTTCACCGTTTACATGCTAGACCTTTCTCACAGTTTGCTCTGCCTCTAACACTAGTCACGACAAATTCCGACCGAGCGGGATCGAGCTTCGTCATTGCAGACATACCGCTCTACATGCTCTCTAACTTCGCGGCTTTCTTCCAAGCGCCTCTTGAATGCCTCGGCAGTCATCTTGAAGCTGATCTTTCCTGGCCGGCTCTCAGCGCAAAGCAACAAGATACCTGTGCGTGCTCACCATGCAAGCAAGTCAGTGGGTCACTTGCAGAGCGGTGGATATTGCCCCTTCCAGTGAGGCCAGCTGCTGACGGTTATGGTCTCAGCACAGCTTCGTTAAAGAGTCCTCTGTCTGAGTCTGTCTATGCAAAGCAAAGCCTGTGCCTAACCCTGGCGCAGCTCAGGCCGCCACTCACTGCAAGCTGCAGCACAGCCGTGACTTTCTCGGCGGGTGCGGCTGCACAACACCTGCCCATGCCCAGACACGATCTCGGAAGTCTCGAAATCTCCCGGAACCTTTCGACTGCTTTTTCATGCAAGCCATTGCAGCTGAGCTCTTCCACATCGAAGAACGACGGGTCCTGAATTTCGCAAGTTCGCAGATTGTCGCAGATCCCTGCATAGAGCGTAAGAAACCACTGCACATGCAAGCTGGCCCGTCAATATGCGACTCCTGCAGGGTACCAGCAACCTCCAGAATTTGCCCACCGTGACAACTGCGTGTCAAGTCAACCTCATTCGAAGAAACCGGCTGGTTCATCAGAAGGCACTCAACCAGGTGCAAGAGGTTCGAGAAGGATATCCGTCGCAAGTCTTCCTGTGGCCGAGATGCAGCTCTGGCAGCCCCGCATGTAATCGCCACAATGCCAATCGTGGCGCTCTTCATCACCGCGACGGTAGGCACTGCAACCGCCGCATGATATGCAACGCCGAAAATCACTAGCGTTACGGTGCTGGCCTGCTGCGAGTTCCTCACCGCTATGACATGTGTGCACCACGGGACGTGTTTACTCCCCGCTGGCACCTTGCAGCCATACTAATGTCATGGGCGTCATGCAGACATGGATGCCCCCCACTAGCACTTTGCAGCCATAACAATGTCATGGGCTTCATGCAGAGATTGCCCTTCTTCAATATTACAATGCGCATCTTGTTTGTCATCACAACCGTGATGCTGCTCAAGGCCACATGTTCTGGATGCCACGTATCCCCACGTCGCCTGTCAGAGCAGCCTCCGGCTGGAGCAAAGATGCAAAATCAGGCTTGAGCCATACCCTTTGAGCCTTGCTCCTGGGACGTGCGATACACCTGGCTTGCAGTGCGATACGAAAAAAACTCTCCAAAGCAGCCTCGGGAGTCCGTCTGAGCTCGAACCGTTTCTTGAGATCCTTCGGATTCCACACCAGAGGCGACATTACTTAAGCAGTTGTACAATCTCCTTACAGCTGCAGCTTTGCTCTGCCAGCGCTGCCACTAGCAATCCGCAAAACCCGGTGAGGTGTGACCTACGTCAGACATCTCGGATGGTAGGACCAGGAATCCTAGAAAGGCGTCCTCTTGGGTACAATTCCAGTGAGAGTCCGGTGCCACATGGGGTCTCCCGCCGATGTAGAGGCAAGTGTGTTCTGGTCGTGGCATGCGATTTCGATAGGCCGCGATCAGCTTTCTGACGCTTTCTGGTCTTCCGAGGCTGTCAGGCTTGGGACCAGTCGTCTAACCTTCAAAGGTGCAGATGCTCCTGCAGTTCGCTAGAAGCTCATTCCGGAGTGCATCCGGTTATATTGTTTTTCGCGCACGGATCTCATGCACCTGACAAGTGCAGAGCCTTCCAACATCTCCGAACCAAAATACGGCTCGACTGTCGCTGGGCGTTGACATTGCAGTGTTCGTGAGGCCACGAAAGATTTGTGCAGAATAAGCATCTCATCTCATGCATAGGTATGCTGGTAGCCCTGGTAGCCCTGTGCACGTGGTCCGAGATGCCAAACAGCTTGTTTGGCAAAGTTACCTGGTTGCACACGTCCCAAAAATGGGAGACTTGACGGCTTGTCGGAACATGGTAGCGGGGAAACCGTCTGGACTGTGCAAGGATTGGCTTACACCTTCATCTTGCATGTTGCCGAAGCTGTCCAATCAAGGCAACTGTTCTCGATCACAAGCAATGCTGCTGAAATGGTTGCAACCCCGCAAAGGTGGGGCTGTTTTGGCTGGCAGAACCCCCCTGCCATAGCCCTGCCCTTGCTAGCCGCCCTTGCACTCTCGAGTTCTGCCTGGAGACAACAAACAGAGCGACAGCGCTGTGAGCAGGAGTTGATGCCCGGTCCAAATCCAGCACGGTCTGCTCAACATCACGAGCCTTCTCAGGGCGCAGCGAAATTCAAGTGGGAGGATTCTACATGTCCCCAGATAGAACAGGAGCGTTTGTAGGCATAGGGTGCTATGTTGTGCTTGGGGTCAAGCGGCTGATGTGGCCCCTCCCGTGAGTCTCCGAAAAAAGCCTTTTACAAAGCTAGGCTTCAAACCAAAGCTTCTGAATTTTCGACAGCCGGCAAGTCACAAACCGTGCTGCGTCCCGGGTACTCCCACAACGCAACTCCTTGATGCGGCCTGCTGCGTCAGGCCGGGCATCTTGGCGAGCATCTGCACAGCGAAGCTGAGGGAGAGCAGTCACTAGCATCCACTAAGAATCCACGTCATGTCTTTCGCCAGGGCGGGGCAAGGGGAGAGACCCTACTCCCTCGGCACAAACCCACCTCAAAGCAGGCGTCACGGCATCGAACACGCACAGAACTCAATGGCACTAGGAGTCGGTTCAAGGGTCCCTGCCCTTTCGGAAGTCCCATGCGAGGCTGTCAACTACAACGAGCAGACATGCTAGGGGACCAGGTCGGTTGAGGGGGCCCACAGAAAAGTCCACTCACTCACTCTCACTCTCACTCTCACTCTCACTCTCACTCTCACTCTCACTCTCACTCACACTCTCACTCTCACTCTCACTCTCACACTCAAACTCACACTCGCACTCACACTCACACTCACACTCA